ATATACATATATATATAAAAGGTGGGAAAAGTCATTTTCAGTTTCAGCCTGACAAATTTTGCTGCACACCTCATGAATTGCGGTGCCATTCATTTCAATGGATCCCAAATGCACCTCCCGTCCGCAGTGTGATCGCACGCACTAGAAATGCATGGTACTGCAATGCCCTGCAGTAACGTGCAATGCAAAAAATGTGCATGCCGTTTTATTCTGGGCACCGGCAGAGAGAGGAGGGGGTGTTCACCCGGCGGGATAAGCTATGCCCGTTCCCTCCTCTCTCCTGCAACTGTTGGGCTCTTGGTCCATGACCATAGTTCTGAAGCTGCAACACAGATCTTCTGCCTTAATATGCTGGGCCCTAAAATTCTGCAGTTACCAATCTTCTACCTTGGCTGCTGGGGCTCTGTAGCTTGCCCCGCTCTAGAGACCCTGCACGGAGCTTATAGGCTGCACATCCCCGGACTCACCACCAAGGAGTTGCCGATGAACACAATGACCATCTGGATCTCAGCACTGGGGTCCTGGAGAAGCTCCTCTGCTGCCTGAAGTCAGAGATTTGGGTGCCAGTTTCCCTGGGAGGGTCGGTGCATGAACTGCCAGTGCATCCAGGATGAAAGTCACACACACCAATACATTGCACAGCATGTTGATAAGGAAGAGGAAGGGGCTGCAGCCGGCATATATGTAGGAGTAGGCGGCGTAGGTGGACATGTTGGTAAACCAGTCAAAGAAGCACCAGGTCCAGGAGTACTGGCAGTCATTTATGAATAATTTATAATATAATTCATTTTTTCTCTCTTAACTAACTGGTTTGGGGGGCAGCATTTTTTTGGCGCCCCCTGGAAAATGCCGCCCTAGGCAAATGCCTAGTTTGCCTTGCAGTAGATACACCCCTGGTCACCCCTCCAATGGTGTCAACTTGATGGTGCGGGCCGCACCACTTTGTGACACCACTGGGATGCAGTGCAAATCTGCACCAGTTTTGATAAATGTAAAAAAAAAAATACGGCCAACTAATCGATTATGAAGGCTTGTGGCCCTAGTGTATAGATTACAAATCATTGCTGTAAAAAAAAAACAACCCCATACATACTGATACAAGGGAAATGTTTTTTGATACTGTTGCAGGATTAAAGTCACGCGCATTTAGGAAAGTTGCCTATATGACAGTGATAACAATAGGCTGCAGTTAGCGGAGCGTCCAGTAGGGGTCACCGGCGCACCTCTCGGCCAAGGCAATTGTTCGGGGAGGAGGAGAGGCAGCTCGGAGAGGCAGAGCGAGGGATGCGGGCAGGGTAACACAATACACCCCGAAGAGGAGGAGGAGTGCTGCTCTCATCGCCGCACCGCAGCCAGCATGGAGGCTTAGTGCCTGGCCCTGATGCCGCATCGTGCACACCACCCCTCCCGGGTGCAGGCTGGCCTCGCTCGCATGTTCTTGCTCCCCCCGGGATCCTCGCAGACACGCCACGGCGCAGCGGAGAGGACATGATCAGCTCTGCGGCGGCGCTTCTCCTCTGTGTGCTGGGCTGTAACGTATGGAGAGCGCTCAGCAAGAGCCTGCCGGAGCACAATGCAGCAGCTCAAGGTCGGTGGGGGCTCGGTGGTGGGGGGACACCTTACTTCCCATAGGTGGGGGTCACGCCACTTCCCATAGGTGGGGGACACCCCACTTTTCATGCACAATGGCTGGATCAGCGGGATACAGCGCACACGGTGTATCTAGACTCTGACAGGATGCGCTATCAACGCAGCGGGACGCTCTAGTTCTACCTTTGCAATAGCCACATTCTCCATTCCTGGCTTGATGGGCTCCCTAGTTCTGCAGCTACAATAACCATTCTCTCCTGCCCTGCCATGCTGTGCTAGTCTCTAGTTCTGAAGCTGCAACACAGATCTTCTGCCTTAATATGCTGGGCCCTAAAATTCTGCAGTTACCAATCTTCTACCTTGGCTGCTGGGGCTCTGTAGCTTGCCCCGCTCTAGAGACCCTGCACGGAGCTTATAGGCTGCACATCCCCGGACTCACCACCAAGGAGTTGCCGATGAACACAATGACCATCTGGATCTCAGCACTGGGGTCCTGGAGAAGCTCCTCTGCTGCCTGAAGTCAGAGATTTGGGTGCCAGTTTCCCTGGGAGGGTCGGTGCATGAACTGCCAGTGCATCCAGGATGAAAGTCACACACACCAATACATTGCACAGCATGTTGATAAGGAAGAGGAAGGGGCTGCAGCCGGCATATATGTAGGAGTAGGCGGCGTAGGTGGACATGTTGGTAAACCAGTCAAAGAAGCACCAGGTCCAGGAGTACTGGCAGTCATTTATGAATAATTTATAATATAATTCATTTTTTCTCTCTTAACTAACTGGTTTGGGGGGCAGCATTTTTTTGGCGCCCCCTGGAAAATGCCGCCCTAGGCAAATGCCTAGTTTGCCTTGCAGTAGATACACCCCTGGTCACCCCTCCAATGGTGTCAACTTGATGGTGCGGGCCGCACCACTTTGTGACACCACTGGGATGCAGTGCAAATCTGCACCAGTTTTGATAAATGTAAAAAAAAAAATACGGCCAACTAATCGATTATGAAGGCTTGTGGCCCTAGTGTATAGATTACAAATCATTGCTGTAAAAAAAAAACAACCCCATACATACTGATACAAGGGAAATGTTTTTTGATACTGTTGCAGGATTAAAGTCACGCGCATTTAGGAAAGTTGCCTATATGACAGTGATAACAATAGGCTGCAGTTAGCGGAGCGTCCAGTAGGGGTCACCGGCGCACCTCTCGGCCAAGGCAATTGTTCGGGGAGGAGGAGAGGCAGCTCGGAGAGGCAGAGCGAGGGATGCGGGCAGGGTAACACAATACACCCCGAAGAGGAGGAGGAGTGCTGCTCTCATCGCCGCACCGCAGCCAGCATGGAGGCTTAGTGCCTGGCCCTGATGCCGCATCGTGCACACCACCCCTCCCGGGTGCAGGCTGGCCTCGCTCGCATGTTCTTGCTCCCCCCGGGATCCTCGCAGACACGCCACGGCGCAGCGGAGAGGACATGATCAGCTCTGCGGCGGCGCTTCTCCTCTGTGTGCTGGGCTGTAACGTATGGAGAGCGCTCAGCAAGAGCCTGCCGGAGCACAATGCAGCAGCTCAAGGTCGGTGGGGGCTCGGTGGTGGGGGGACACCTTACTTCCCATAGGTGGGGGTCACGCCACTTCCCATAGGTGGGGGACACCCCACTTTTCATGCACAATGGCTGGATCACACCCCCCCTTTATGTGTAGGGGGGGGGGGGGGGGGGGGGGGTGTTGTAG